AGTTGTGAAATCAATTGTGGCACTGGGGAGTTCCATGGGGTTGGATGTGAGTTTGGAGGATGTGGAAGAGTTGGTGGAAGACCACAATGAAGAGCTCACCACTGAGGAGCTGCAAGAGCTTCAGCAGGAACAGCAACACATCGCAGCTCAGAATCTTGCTACAGAGGAGGAGGAAGAGAGATGGAAGAAGTTGCCTTCTTCAAAAATTAAGGAGATTTTTGCTCTGTGGGGTAGGATGGAAAGATTTATGGAGAAACATCACCCTGAGAAGGATGTTGCAAGCTATATCAGCAACTTGTACAGTGACAGAGTCTTGGACCATTTTAGGGAAGTTTTAAAGAGACGCCAGAAACAGAGCTCTCTGGACAGCTTTTTTTGCGAGACAGGACACCAGTGACTCTCAAGGTGGTCCTAGTGGCATTAAGAAACAGAGAAGAGAAGTAACCCCAGAAAAGCACTTGGTACCTGAGGTGTTGATGGAAGGGGATTCCCCTTCCAAACAGTAATCCAATCTCTCTCCTCCTCCAGTCTCCCATACACTAAGAAGAATCACCAATAAAGGTAAGTGTTATTCTGTTAATGTTTCATTCATCCAGTCTTCCATACACTAAGAAGAATCACCAATAAAGGTAAGTGTTATGCTGTTAATGTTTCATTCATCATGTACCATTGTATTGTTTATGTACTACATCTATATTTCATGTAAAAAAAAATTTTGTTTTAATACTTCTGGGTGTCAGGAACGGATTAATTGTATTTACAGTATTTCTTATGGGGAAAATTAATTTGAAAATCGTCTGTTTCGATAATCGTCGCACTTCCAGGAATTGATTAACGACGATAAACGAGGAACCACTGTAATAATAATATTATTAATTCAGCATGATACATGTTTGTACAAAAGAGTTTACCCGGAGAGAGTTCTGGGGGGTCAATGCCCCCACGGCCTGGTCTGTGACCAGGCCTCCTGGTGGATCAGAGCCTGATCAACCAGGCTGTTACTGCTGGCTGCACGCAATCTAACATACAAGCCACAGCCCAGCTGGTCAGGTACCGACTTTAGGTGCTTATCCAGTGCCTGCTTGAAGACTGTCAAGGGTCTATTGGTAATCCCTTTTATGTATGCTGGGAGGCAGTTGAACAGTCTCGGGCCCCTGACACTTATTGTATGGTCTCTTAACGTGCTAGTGACACTCCTGCTTTTCATTGGGGGGTTGTGCATCGTCTGCCGAGTTTTTTGCTTTTGTAGTGAGTGATTTTCGTGTGCAAGTTCAGTACTAGTCCCTCTAGGATTTTCCAGGTGTATATAATCATGTATCTCTCCCGCCTGCATTCCAGGGAGTACAGGTTCAGGAACTTTAAGCGCTCCCAGTAATTGAGGCGTTTTATCTCAGTTATGCGCACCGTGAAGGTTCTCTGTACATTTTCTAGGTCAGCAATTTCACCTGCCTTGAAAGGTGCTGTTAGTGTGCAGCAATATTCCAGCCTAGATAGGACAAGCAACCTGAAGAGTGTCATCATGAGCTTGGCATCCCTAGTTTTGAAGGTTCTCATTATCCATCCTGTCATTTTTCTAGCAGATACAATTGATACGATGTTACGGTCCTTGAAGGTGAGATCCTCCAACATGATCACTCCCAGGTCTTTGATGCTAGTATAACAATTTAACTCCTGAAATCATAATGACACGATTGCCAACAAACCACACCATGGGCGGGGTTTGAACCTGTGATCACAGAGTCTCAAAACTCCAGACCAACGCGTTGGTCACTGGGCCAGCTGGCTTCAATAAGATTCATCCAACTAGGTATATTTCTACACCATAGGAAGGTTAGCATAGGCACCACTGTGACCACAAATGCAAGTTTTTACAGATGTATCTCCAGCTAGCGTGGGCACGACGAACTCTAGCTCAAGTCCCCTCAAAGCCGTATAAATATACGTACCTAGCTGGATGAATCTTATTGTGGCTAGGTGGCCCAGTGGCTAACGCAATGGTCTGGAGTTTTGAAACTCTCTGATCGTGGGTTCTAACCCTGCCAATGGTATAGTGAGTATGATAATTGGGTGTACAAGCCAAAAGCCCCTTTATATGCAGAACATTTCCAGCAATCTTAAGACTAATTAAAGATTAATAAGGTAATAACAGTGCAGCAATTGTACGTATGGTCATTATGCGAGTTACAATGAACACAAGAAAATTGACTAGTCTATCAGTTCATAATATTACCTCCCCGGATGGTTGCTCGTTACTAACAAAATCAAAACAGAAAACTGGAAAAAGACAAAGGAAGAAAATTCAGTCTTCCCACTTGAAGGTGACCCCTTTGAAGGAGTGCAAAGGTTTGTAGAGCCAGATAGCAGAACTTAGGGAAGAGAATATGCAGAGGTATGTAGAGCCAGATAGCAGAACTTAGGGAAGAAGATATGCAGAGGTATGTAGAGCCAGATAGCAGAACTTAGGGAAGAGAATATGCAAAGGTTTGTAGAGCCAGATAGCAGAACTTAGGGAAGAGAATATGCAAAGGTTTGTAGAGCCAGATAGCAGAACTTAGGGAAGAGAATATGCAGAGGTTTGTAGAGCCAGATAGCAGAACTTAGGAAGAGAATATGCAAAGGTTTGTAGAGCCAGATAGCAGAACTTAGGGAAGAGAATATGCAGAGGTATGTAGAGCCAGATAGCAGAACTTAGGGAAGAGAATATGCAAAGGTTTGTAGAGCCAGATAGCAGAAACTTAGGGAAGAGAATATGCAAAGTTTGTAGAGCCAGATAGCAGAACTTAGGGAAGAGAATATGCAAAGGTTTGTAGAGCCAGATAGCAGAACTTAGGGAAGAGAATATGCAGAGGTATGTAGAGCCAGATAGCAGTACTTAGGGAAGAAGATATGCAGAGGTATGTAGAGCCAGATAGCAGAACTTAGGGAAATGTAATATGAGGAAAGGTTGAAAGTAGAAATCTTAATGAGGTATTGTACTGTGTATGGAGATATGCAAATTTATTTATTTATTAATTTGAACATGATACAGAGAAGTACAAAAGAATACAGTTAAATGCAGCATGCCAAAGCCACTTGTATGCAGAGCATTACGGGCTGGCTTAAAATTAACTTAAGATTAACTAAGCAATGCAGTATTCAGTGGTAAAACATTATTGTAAACAGATAACAATTAAGCACAAATGAGTATTACAAAAACAGGTCGTATAGTTACTTGCATTGATGTACAATCAGTATTTATTTTTTAAAAGAAACAGTTCAATATCTTTATTATGCAGCCTATACCCATCTTGTGGGCAGTAGTCAACAGAGTAGAGGTATATAATGGGACTTATGAAATCGTAATGACGCAATTGCAAACAAACCATACCATGGGCAGGGATAGAACCCACAGTCTGGAGTTTTATGACTCTCTGACTGCAGGTTCTATCCCTGCCTGTGGTATGGTACATAATGGGTCCAATGACTGGGCCCCAATACAGTGGACCCCCGGTTAACGATATTTTTTCCCTCCAGAAGTATGTTCAGGTGCCAGTACTGACCGAATTTGTTCCCATAAGGAATATTGTGAAGTAGATTAGTCCATTTCAGACCCCCAAACATACACGTACAAATGCACTTACATAAATACACTTACATAATTGGTCGCATTCGGAGGTGATCGTTATGCGGGGGTCCACTGTATTTTGATAGCTGAACAGGTAACAAAGGTAATGAACTCAAGGTAGATCTGGTCACAATCATGACCAAGTTACAAAGGTAATGAATCAAGGAGTCATAAAGATGGTAAAGGTAATACCTAGAAGTAATAAGAGGAAGAAAGAACAGGAGAGCCTGTGCCACAAGAAAACAAAACATACAGCAAATATTTATTTAATCTGAAGGTACTGAAGAGTGAGAGGAGCTGGAGGAGAGAGTGGTGGTAATTAACTCCATACATATATACAGCCTCTCCTCACTTAGCGACATACTCGTTTAATGACGACTCAGCCTCACTACGACTTCTCTGACCAGTATGTATACCTAAATAAAGTATGTTAGAGCTGATTTCCTCTATTCTCTTTATTACAAAATACAGTACACTACTGTATAAACATTAAATATATGTTATAACTGGTGCAAAGGTGACATTAATACAATATCAAAGATGGTTGACACAAACCCACTGCTAGTATAGTGTGCTCCTCACCTAGCGAAGAATTCGTTTACCAACATGGTCTTAGGAACGGAACTCCGTCGTTAAGTGAGGAGAGGCTTTAGTTTCACCAGCAAATTGATCAATATAAAGGTGTGATGTGGCCAGGAGATAAGCTTCCACCCCAACATTCTAGTACTTTGACTCAAGAAATTGTAATGACGCAATTGCAAACAAATCACAGTATGGGCGGGGACTGAACTCACAGCTAGTGAGTCGTAAAACTCCAGGCCGGAGTGTTAGCCACTGGCCAGTCTGGAGTTTTACGACTCACAAGGCGTGAGTTCAATCCCCACCTGTACCGTGGTTTATTCTAGTACTTTTTGTTTTTAAACACATTAGCTGTCTCCCACCAAGGCAGTGGTGACTTGAAAAAGAAACACTCTCACCATGATTCACACTATCACTGTCTTACCAGAGGTGCACAGATATCACATTATTTTTCTTAAAAAAAAAAAAAAAAAAAATTACACGGGTTTGGTAAAAGATATACGTAATATATATACGAGTACATTTTCTTTTCAATCACAAAAATACACGACTGATAAAAGACATAATGAATATATGAGTACACATCCTTTTCTATCACAAAAATACAGTGGTACCTCGGGATACGAACTTAATTCGTTCCAGAAGGCTGTTCGAGTGCTGATACCGAACGAATTTGTTCCCATGAGGAATAATGTAAATTAGATTAACCCATTTCAGACCCCAAAGCACCTTACATAAATATACTTACATAATTGTTCGAGTTTTGAGTTGTTCGTATCCCAAGGTACCACTGTACATGAAAAAAATATAATGTGAGCTAGGAGGCAGAAGTGACATTATTAGTGTAAACACTGGGTTGGGTACTCACCCCAGCCTTGACGGCAGTGATGATCTCTGCACGCAGAGCCTCCCTCTTCTCCTTCTCTCTGGTGATAAATAAAATTATGATCACAACTACAGTTTGATTTTCATAAGTTTTTTTTTTTTTTTTTCAACAAGTCGGTCGTCTCCCACCGAGGCAGGGTGACCCAAAAAAGAAAGAAAATCCCCAAAAAGAAAATACTTTCATCATCATTCAACACTTTCACCACACTCGCACATTATCACTGTTTTTGCAGAGGCGCCCAGAATACAACAGTTTAGAAGTATATACGTATAAAGATACACAACATATCTCTCCAAACTGCCAATATCCCAAACCCCTCCTTTAAAGTGCAGGCATTGTACTTCCCATTTCCAGGACTCAAGTTCGGCTATATGAAAATAACCGGTTTCCCTGAATCCCTTCACTAAATATTACCCTGCTCACATAAGTACACTTATAAAATTAGGGAGCAAGAGGCTAGTAACCCTTTCTCCACTAGAAATTACTAAATTTAAAAAAGAAAAACTTTTGTTTTTGGTTTTAGGTCACCCTGCCTGGGTGGGATACAGCTGGTGTGTTGAAAAAATTATAAAATTACTGATTATTAATGGAAGTCACTGAATGTAAGAGTGTTTTAAGATTTATGTTATACATGTTCATGAATAAAAAGATCAGCAAGCTTATAATAATAATAATAATAATAATAATAATAATAATAACAATAATAATAATAATAATAATAATAATAATAACAATAATAATAATAATAATCTTTATTTCTACCAGTACATGTACAAGGTATACAGACCACAGCTGACATCAATGACACATCACATGTACAAGGTATACAGACCACAGCTGACATCAATGACACATCACATGTACAAGGTATACAGACCACAGCTGACATCAATGACACATCACATGTACAAGGTATACAGACCACAGCTGACATCAATGACACATCACAAAATAAGGTGGTGAAAATCAAAATAAAATGAAAATGTTTATTTCCTTGTAAAACTGACGATGTGTGGTTTACATATTATAAAATATTATTTACAAAAAGGCCACTAGCATGCCCAGGCATTTCAGGCAGACTAATACTAATTTTTACTCTATATTGACACAGGTTATGGAGCAGTACATTTTAATATACATTACTGCGCACTCGTATAAAAGTTAGGTAACTGAAGTGATTAACATTAATTAGATTTATAATAGTGAGGTATTACAAAACATATAATATTAAAATTAGTAAATTTAGTAATGTGAATGGTTTTATCCTGTTTCTATTAAAGTTGTAGCCATGTATAAACGTAGTAAGTAAATTTACTTACATGATTCATTACCTTTGTAACTTCTGAGTTCACTACCTTTGTACAGTACCTTGTTCAGCTATCAAAACTTTGGGTCCCAGTCCCTGGACCCATTATATACCTTTGTAATCTGTAAATACCTTTGTAACTTGTCATGACCGTGACCAGATCTACCTAGAGTTCATTAACTTTGTAACTTGCTCAGCTATCAAAACTTTGGAGTCCAGTCCCTGGACCCATTATGTATCTCTGTAATCTTTTGACTACTGCCCACAGGATGGGTATGGGGTGCATAATAAACATATTAAACTAACTGTCAAGGTGGAGACCCAGGAATTTGCCCTCATTATGTTTAGCAATAAGAGTGTTGTCACAGAGGAACAACATCACCTTCAACCACACAGCCTCACCTTCAACAACCACACAACAGCACCTTCAACAACCACACAACCCCTGGAGTATACCTGAAGAGGGTTTCAGGGGTCAACCCCCCTGCAACCTGGTCTGTGACCAGGCCTCATGGTGGATCAGGGCCTTATCAACCAGGCTGTTGCTGTTGGCTACACACTCCAATAGCACTAACATCCCATATCATAAAAATCTTTGAAAGGGTCCTAAGAAGCAAGATCACCACCCATCTAGAAACCCATCAGTTACACAACCCAGGGCAACATGGGTTTAGAGCAGGTAGCTCCTGTCTGTCTCAACTTTTGGATCACTACGACAAGGTCTTAGATGCACTAGAAGACAAAAAGAATGCAGATGTAATATATACAGACTTTGCAAAAGCCTTCGACAAGTGTGACCATGGCGTAATAGTGCACAAAATGGGTGCTAAAGGAATAACAGGAAAAGTTGGTAGATGGATTTATAATTTCCTCACTAACAGAACACAAAGAGTAGTAGTCAAAAGAGTAAAGTCCGAGGCGGCTACGGTGAAAAACTCTGTTCCATAAGGCACAGTACTTGCTCCCATCTTGTTTCTCATCCTCATATCTGACATAGATAAGGATGTCAGCCACAGCACCGTGTCTTCCTTTGCAGATGACACCCGAATCTGCATGACAGTGTCTTCCATTGCAGACACTGCAAGGCTCCAGGCAGACATCAACCAAATCTTTCAATGGGCTGCAGAAAACAATATGAAGTTCAACGATGAGAAATTTCAATTACTCCGATATGGTAAACACGAGGAAATTAAAACTTCATCAGAGTACAAAACAAATTCCGGCCACAAAATAGAGTGAAAAACCAACGTCAAAGACCTGGGAGTGATCATGTCGGAGGATCTCACCTTCAAGGACCATAACGTTGTATCAATCGCATCTGCTAGAAAAATGACAGGATGGATAATGAGAACCTTCAAAACTAGGGAGGCCAAGCCCATGATGACACTCTTCATGTCGCTTGTTCTATCTAGGCTGGAATATTGCCGCACACTAACAGCACCTCTCATGGCAGGTGAAATTGCTGACCTAGAAAATGTACAGAGAACCTTCACGGCGTGCATAACAGAGATAAAACACCTCAATTATTGGGAGCACTTGAAGTTCCTGAACCTGTATTCCCTGGAATGCAGGCGGGAGAGACATACATGATTATATACACCTGGAAAATCCTAGAGGGACTAGTACCGAACTTGCACACGAAAATCACTCACAACGAAAGCAAAAGGCTTGGCAGACGATGCAACATCCCCCCAATGAAAAGCAGGGGTGTCACTAGCACGTTAAGAGACAATACAATAAGTGTCAGGGGCCCGAGACTGTTCAACTGCCTCCCAGCATACATAAGGGGGATTACCAATAGATCTCTGACAGTCTTCAAGCTGGCACTGGACAAGCACCTAAAGTCGGTACCTGACCAGCCGGGCTGTGGCTCGTACGTTGGATTGCGTGCAGCCAGCAGTAAAAAGCCTGGTTGATCAGGCTCTGATCCACCAGGAGGCCTGGTCACAGACTGGGCCGCGGGGGGGTTGACCCCCGGAACTTCTCCAGGAAAAATTCCAGGGAATAACCTGTTGAACCACAGCTCGGCTGGTCGGTACTGACTTTGGTGCCTGTCCAGTGCTTTTTTAAAGACGCCAGGGGTCTTTTGGAATCCCTTTATGATGCTGGAAGAAGCTGAACAGTCTTGGGACCCGGGACACTTTTTTTTTGTCTTTTTTCGTGTAGTGGCCCCCCTGCTTTTCATTGCAGGATGTTACATGTCTGCCGAGTCTTTTGTTTATAGGGAATGATTTTCGTGTGCATTTGGGTGCCCCCCCTTCAAAATCAAAATCACAAACCCCCACCTTCAACAATAAAACAACCCCCCACCATCACACAACCACATTTCAACCCCACCAACCCCACTCCAAATCCCAACCCCTCTCCTTCTAACCATACAACCCACCATGGGGTTTCCCATGTTGGCCCTCTACATTACAGCCAGTTTGTTTTTTTAACATTGTTGTTCTTAAAAACTCGTGGTTTTTTCAGAAGATAAACAAGGGCTTAAATTTCAATCCCATGATAGATAGTCTCGGTTATGCAAAAAGTTTCAGAGAAAGCCAAGGTGGTGGAAAAAGCTCTCACCCGGGTGGAAAAAAGTGTCACCATGTGGTGGATAAAGCTGTCACGTCAGTGGTGGATAAAGGGCTGTCACGTAGTGGTGGATAAAGGCTCTCACGTCACTGGTGGATAAAGCTTACTCACGTGGTGGTAAAGCTCTCACTCACGGGTGGAAAAGTTTCCACGTCACGTGGTGGATAAAGCTCTCACGTCAGGGGTGGTTAAAGCTTACGTCCGGGGTGGATAAAGCTCTCAGTCCTGGTGGAAAGCTCTCAGTCACTGGGGAAAAGCTCCACGTACGTGGTGGAAAAAGTTCCATGTCAGTGGTGGAAAAAAAGCTTCACTTCATGGTGGTAAAGTCTCACGTCCGTGGTGGTAAAGCCTCCGTCAGTGGGGATAAGCTCTCAGTCACGTGGTGGTAAAACTCTCGCTTCCATGGCGGGCCCGGTTAAATTTTCCCGGAAAAGGTAGAAACAATGGGTGTGTTTCTTTACCCGGCTGTCTATATTCCCAATCGTAAAAGGTACCTGGGTGTTACTGGGTGGGTTGCATCCGGGATAAAACTGACCTAATTAGGGGGAAATGTCAGCATAACAAGGGGCTTTCTATACAGTAATATGTCGTTTAGTCAGCTTGGTCTGTATACCTGTACATTTATTGTACAAAAAAAGATACTTTTTCATACAGTTTCTCCCACTTAAAGGCGTACTCGTTTACCCAAAGTTGGATTACGAAGGGCTCTTTGGCAGTTCCTACTTAAGTTTTATTTTGGGTGATTTCCTCTATTTGTTTATTTCAATATACATACACTACTGAATTAAAAATTTAAAATCTAATAAAAGTTATAAACGGTACAAAGGGGAATTAAAACATACAAAAATGGTTGACACAAACCATACCCTTATAGTAGCTCCCCGTTTCGACGAATTTGGTTTACCGATGTGGTCTTAGGGAAAGGGGAAATCCGTTGTTAATGAGGAGAGGCATATTTTTTTTATTACATTTTCAACTTTCAACAGGTTCATCAGAATGTAACCCATGGAAAGTCCTGGGGACCTGTAGTCTTTTTAAACCCCCCTGCCTACAGGCCCCGATATTGGCTGAAAAAAGGTTATCAAATACAGTGTGAATAAATGGTTTACAAAAATAAAGTTTATAAACAAGTGCTTGTGCAACTTTATCAACAAGTGTTTTATTTTCACCCCGCCCCGGGGGGACAGCAGACTTGTTAAAAAAAAAAAAAAAAATTAATAAAAATCAAACCCAAATTCATAAGTTTTCAAACACCTATATTTTTTCCTCGGATTTCCCAACCCCCATATTTAACCCCATCTATGTTCATTCACCCATATTTTGCTCCATTCACATCCCCATACATCTCCCACACCCATGTTTCTCCCATCGTTCTTATACGTATTTTTTCCCCACTCCAAACCTTAATAACCCTCGCTCCATGTTCCAGCTGATTCCCACATCACCTTCACACCTCTATCATCCCCACAACCCTACCATCAATCCCCACAACCCTACCATCATCCCCACAACCCTACCATCATCCCCACAATCCTACCATCATCCCCGCAACCCTACCATCATCCTCACACCCTTACCATCATTCCCACCCCCTACCATCATCCCCACAACCTACCATCATCCCCACAACCCTACCATCATCCCCACAATCCTACCATCATCCCGCAACCCTACCACCATCCTCACAACCCTACCATCATCCCCACAACCCTACCATTCATCCCCACAACCCTACCATCATCCCCACAACCCTACCATCATCCCCACAATCCTACCATCATCCTCAAAACCCTACCATCATTCCCACACCCCTATCATCATTTCCACACTCCTACTATCATCCCCACAACCTTTACCATCATTCCCACACCCCTATCATCAGTCCCACACCCCTACCATCATCCCAAAACCCCTACCATCATTCCCACACACCTACCATCATCCCACACCCCTACCATCATTCCCACACACCTCCCATCTTTTCCACACACCTACCATCATTCCCACACCCCTACCATCATCCCCACACCCCTTACCATCATTTCCACACCCCTACCATCATTTCCACACCCCTACCATCATCCCACACCCCTACCATCATCCCCACACCCTTACCATCATTCCCACACCCTTACCATCATTCCCACACCCTTACCATCATTCCACACACCTACCATCATTCCCACACCCCTACCATCATCCCACACTCCTACCATCATTTCCACACCCCTACCATCATCCCCACACCCCTACCATCATTCCCACACCCCTACCATCATTTCCACATACCTACCATCATTCCACACCTCTACCATCATTCCCCACACCCTTACCATCATTCCACACCCTTACCCTCATTCCCACACCCTTACCATCATTTCCACACCCTTACCATCATTCCCACACACCTACCATCATTCCCACACCCTTACCATCATTCCCACACCCTTACCATCATTCCCACACACCTACCATCATTCCCACACCCTTACCATCATTCCCACACACCTACCATCATTCCCACACCCTTACCATCATTCCCACACACCTACCATCATTCCCACACACCTACCATCATTCCCACACCCAAGAAGCTCACTGGTAGTAATCCCTTCCTTAAATCACTTGTTAAAGCAACTGCTCAAGAAGAAATTTCTCACCTAGCTGGTAGTAATAAGTTATCACAAGTTATATACACTGATGGATCTAAACAGGAGTCTTCTGGCAGGGCTGCATCTGCTCTTGTTGCCACCTCCCTAGTTAAGAACCATAATAAATTTGTTGAGTTAGGCATAAGAATTAACAACTGGGCGTCTACACTGCAAACTGAATTGTTTGCAATCCTAATGACACTAAAGCTAACCTATGACACTGAACTTGACTATCATTATTACTGATTCTATGTCATCATTGAAGGCTCTTGACTCATATAATGACTCCAACAACATGCTCATTGGGGAAGCCAGGTATAGATACTCAAAAATCAGGGAGAAAGGAATTAATGTACAATTGCTATGGATCCCATCACACATTGGATTACTCCTTCATGATAAAGTTGATATGTTAGCCAAGAAGAGTATCCAGAAGGAGAATGTAGAATATAACTTTGGTATAACTGTGTCTAGCATTAGGAATAATATTAGGAGAGAAGTAAATAATGAAGATGATTGTTATAGGAATGCAGTTAGAAGCCTGAGTAGATCTATAACCCACTATGATAACATGAACGTAGATAAGTATGTTTATGGAGCAACTTGCAATGTGAACACCTCTACCATCATTCCCACACCTCTACCATCATTCCCACACCTCTACCATCATTCCCACACCTCTACCATCATTCTCACACCTCTACCATCATCCTCACATCTCTACCATCATTCCCACACCCCTACCATCATTCCCACACCTCAACCATCATTCCCACATCTCCACCATCATTCCTACACCTTTACCATCATCCCCATACCTGTGAAAATTGCATTTATCTGTATGTATCATTATATACATAACAGTAAATGAACAATGATAACTATTATTTATCAGTTAGACAAGTAGGAATTTGGGACACTTAGGTCGCAAAAAATGTCCCCCTTCGATACCTACCACTGTCATATCCACAAGTTACTCTGGACCTATTAATTAAATGAAATATACATACACCAGGAATACTGGTATATATATAAATTTGTGGACTGTATATTAAAAATAATAAATGGTTATATATATACACAACTACATAACAGAAGGAAAATATATCTTAATATCACTCACCAATTTGACTGGATATTAAGTTGTATCATACTCAGAAAAACCTCACTAACTAAATTTATGAAAACACTGGCCAGAATTATACACAAATCTAGAGAGCTTATCTGAGGTTCCTGGAGCTGTCTTGTCCAGTCTCCTGATATCTCAAGTTATACAGGAATGCATGTCCAACAATTTCGCCTCCTATTTGAGAGGTGTCAGCCCAATTTTAACCTCTAGAGCACGAGAATTCCTTCCCATTACACTAACGTTGTATCCAATTCAAAACCAAGATGGTGAGTCTCGTTTGCGCAGATGCAGGCTTTCTGTTTTCTATGACATAAATGTTATTAAATACAGTATGGCCATCTATTTACTGAATTTCTGGAAAATATATACAGTATTTTCCACAATACCCCAACCATCACCCCCAAAACCCCTACCATCATCCCCACAACCCTACCATCACCCCAAAACCCTACCATCATCCCCACAACCCTACCATCACCCCCAAAACCCCTACCATCATCCCCACACCTACCATCACCCCCAAAACCCCTACCATCATCCCCACAACCCTACCATCACCCCAAAACCCTACCATCATCCCCACAACCCTACCATCATTCCCAAAACCCCTACCATCATCCCCACAACCCTACCATCACCCCCAAAACCCCTACCATCATCCCCACAACCCTACCATCACCCCCAAAACCCCTACCATCATCCCCACAACCCTACCATCATTCCCACCCCTCTACCATCATTCCCACACCTCTACCATCATTCCCACACCTCTACCATCATCCCCACAATCCTTGATCATCCCCACAACCCCACCATCATTCCACACTCTACCATTATCCCCACACCCCTACCATCATCCCCACCCCTCCCATCATCCCCACAACCCTACCATCATTCTCACAGCTCTACCATCATTCCCACACCTCTACCATCATTCCCACACCTCTACAATCATTCCCACACCTCTACCATCATTCCCACACCTCTACCATCATTCCCACACCTCTACCATCATTCCCACACCTCTACCATCATTCCCACACCTCTACCATCATTCCCACACCTCTACCATCATTCCCACACCTCTACCATCATTCCCACACCTCTACCATCATTCCCACACCTCTACCATCATTCCCACACCTCTACCATCATTCCCACACCTCTACCATCATTCCCACACCTCTACCATCATTCCCACACCTCTACCATCATTCCCACACCTCCACCATCATTCCAACACCTTCACCATCATTCCCACACCTCTACCATCATTTCTACACCTCCACCAACATTCCCACACCTCCACCAACATTCCTACACCTCCACCAATATCCCCACACCCCACCAACATTCCTACACCTCTACCAACATCCCCACACCCCCAACAATCCTGGAATGGCCCTCACCTCACTATGACTGCAGATGCGTCGTACTCCTCCAGGTTATGATGGATTTGCGCTCGATTGGCTTTAGCGTCATGCACCTTAACTTCACTTGCTGCCACCTCCTTCAAACTTGTGTCTGCGGGTGAAAAAATAATTTTATTCTGGTGGGACGTCAATGATTAACTGTTTCCAACAGAAGACCATTCAAAAAATACCCTGACTTTGTCCACCCACTGTAAATAATGCATTACCACTTACACGAGTTAGTTAGTTACCATTTTGTCCTAGGCACATGTTGATTACACACTAGGCCTGTTGTATGTGTGTGTGTGAGAGAGAGAGACAGAGAGACAGAGACAGAGACAGAGAGAGAGAGAGACAGAGAGAGAGAGAGAGAGAGAGAGAGAGAAAGAGAAAGAGAGAAAGAGAAAGAGAGAAAGAGAGACAGAGAGAAAGAGACAGAGGACAGAGAGAGACAGAGACCGACAGAGACAGAAAGACAGAAAGAGAGACAGAGACAAAGAGGCAGAGAGACAGACAGAGACAGAGAGACAGAGAGACAGAGACAGAGATAGAGACAGAGAGACAGAGACAGAGAGAGACAGAGACAGGGAGAGAGACAGGAGAGAGACAGACAGGGAGAGAGACAGAGACACAGAGACAGAGAGAGAGAGAGAGAGAGAGAGAGAGAGGAGAGAGAGAGAGAGAAAGAGATAGACAGAGAGAGAGAAAGAGATAGAGAGAGAGACCTAATTCATGTAAGCATAAATAACTTATTACAATGTGTACAGCCAGCAGTAACAGCCTGGTTGATCAGGCTCTGATCCACCAGGAGGCCTGGTCAGAGATCAGGCCGCAGGGGCGTTGACCCCCGGAACTCTCACCAGGTAATATAAACGTATAAATACAAGAAAGCCCCCACTTTACAGCACTTTGCTTCATGGTGTATCACAAACGCATTAACTTTCAATTATAGCCAGTCCTTATTTATTCAGACTTATTACAATAAATACAATCACAACTTACTATAAGTTAAGGACAAAAACATTTTGAAGTAATGTGTGTACTGCATATGTTTAAGTCTACCTCTATTGCTCACTTAATATATGATAGTGTAAACTTGTTAGCAGGATTTTGTATGCTCTTAAAAGTGAAAAACAACTGTGTTCCACTTTACAGCAGTAGCCAGGAACCTGACCTGCTGTATAAGTGGGGCCTCCTGTACAGCAGTAGCCAGGAACCTGACCTGCTGTATAAGTGGGGCCCTCCTGTACAGCATAGCCAGGAACCTGACCTGCTGTATAAGTGGGGCCCTCCTGTACAGCAGTAGCCAGGAACCTGACCTGCTGTATAAGTGGGCCCTCCTGTACAAGCAGTAGCCAGGAACCTGACCTGCTGTATAAGTGGGGCCCTCCTGTACAGCAGTAGCCAGGAACCTAACCTGCTGTATAAGTGGGGCCCTCCTGTACAGCAGTAGCCAGGAACCTGACCTGCTGTATAAGTGGGGCCCTCCTGTACAGCAGTAGCCAGGAACCTAACCTGCTGTATAAGTGGGGCCCTCCTGTACAGCAGTAGCCAGGAACCTGACGTGCTGTATAAGTGGGCCCCTCCTGTACAGCAGTAGCCAGGAACCTGACCTGCTGTATAAGTGGGGCCCTCCTGTACAGCAGTAGCCAGGAACCTGACCTGCTGTATAAGTGGGGCCCTCCTGTACAGCAGTAGCCAGGAACCTAACCTGCTGTATAAGTGGGGCCCTCCTGTACAGCAGTAGCCAGGAACCTGACGTGCTGTATAAGTGGGGCCCTCCTGTACAGCAGTAGCCAGGAACCTGACGTGCTGTATAAGTGGGGCCCTCCTGTACAGCAGTAGCCAGGAACCTGACCCGCTGTATAAGTGGGGCCCTCCTGTACAGCAGTAGCCAGGAACCTGACCTGCTGTATAAGTGGGGCCCTCCTGTACAGCAGTAGCCAGGAACCTGACCTGCTGTAATAAGTGGGGCCCTCCTGTACAGCAGTAGCCAGGAACCTGACCTGCTGTATAAGTGGGGCCCTCCTGTACAGCAGTAGCCAGGAACCTGACCTGCTGTATAAGTGGGGCCCTCCTGTACAGCAGTAGCCAGGAACCTGACCTGCTGTATAAGTGGGGCCCTCCTGTACAGCAGTAGCAGGAACCTGACCTGCTGTATAAGTGGGGCCCTCCTGTATAGCAGTAGCCAGGAACCTGACCTGCTGTATAAGTGGGGCCCTCCTGTATAGCAGTAGCCAGGAACCTGACCTGCTGTATAAGTGGGCCCTCCTGTATAGCAGTAGCCAGGAACCTGACCTGCTGTATAAGTGGGGCCCTCCTGTATAGCAGTAGCCAGGAACCTGACCTGCTGTATAAGTGGGGCCCTCCTGTATAGCAGTAGCCAGGAACCTGACCTGCTGTATAAGTGGGGCCCTCCTGTACAGTAGTAGCCAGGAACCTGACCTGCTGTATAAGTGGGGCCCTCCTGTACAGTAGTAGCCAGGAACCTGACCTGCTGTATAAGTGGGGCCCTCCTGTACAGCAGTAGCCAGGAACCTGACCTGCTGTATAAGTGGGGCCCTCCTGTACAGCAGTAGCCAGGAACCTGACCTGCTGTATAAGTGGGCCCTCCTGTATAGCAGTAGCCAGGAAACCTGACCTGCTGTATAAATGGGGCCCTCCTGTACAGTAGTAGCCAGGAACCTGACCTGCTGTATAAGTGGGGCCCTCCTGTACAGCAGTAGCCAGGAACCTGACCTGCTGTATAAGTGGGGCCCTCCTGTACAGCAGTAGCCAGGAACCTGACCTGCTGTATAAGTGGGGCCCTCCTGTACAGCAGTAGCCAGGAACCTGACCTGCTGTATAAGTGGGGCCCTCCTGTACAGCAGTAGCCAGGAACCTGACCTGCTGTATAAGTGGGCCCTCCTGTACAGTAGTAGCCAGGAACCTGACCTGCTGTATAAGTGGGACCCTCCTGTACAGCAGTAGCCAGGAACCTGACCTGCTGTATAAGTGGGCCCTCCTGTACAGTAGTAGCCAGGAACCTGACCTGCTGTATAAGTGGGGCCCTCCTTTATAGGGAGTAGCCAGGAAAACCCGACCTGCTGTATAAGTTGGGGCCCTCCTGTACAGCAGTAGCCAGGAACCTGACCTGCTGTATAAGTGGGGCCCTCCTGTACAGCAGTAGCCAGGAACCTGACCTGCTGTATAAGTGGGGCCCTCCTGTACAGCAGTAGCCAGGAACCTTACTGCTGTATAAGTGGGGCCTTCCTGTATAGCAGTAGCCAGAACCTGACCTGCTGTATAAGTGGGGCCCTCCTGTACAGCAGTAGCCCAGAACCTAACCTGCTGTATAAGTGGGGCCCTCCTGTACAGCAGTAGCCCAGAACCTAACCTGCTGTATAAGTGGGGGCCCTCCTGTACAGCAGTAGCCCAGAACCTAACCTGCTGTATAAGTGGGGCCCTCCTGTATAGCAGTAGCCAGGAACCTGACCTGCTGTATAAGTTGGCCTCCTGTACAGCAGTAGCCCGGAACCTAACCTGCTGTATAAGTGGGGCCCTCCTGTACAGCAGTAGCCAGGAACCTAACCTGCTGTATAAGTGGGGGCCCTCCTGTACAGCAGTAGCCAGGAACCTTACCTGGTGTATAAGTGGGGCCCTCCTGTACAGCAGTAGCCAGGAACCTGACCTGCTGTATAAGTTGGGCCCTCCTGTACAGCAGTAGCCAGGAACCTCACCTGCTGTATAAGTGGGGCCCTCCTGTACAGCAGTAGCCAGGAACCTGACCTGCTGTATAAGTAGGGTCCTCCTGTACAGCAGTAGCCAGGAACCTGACCTGCTGTATAAGTGGGGACCTCCTGTACAGCAGTAGCCAGGAACCTGACCTGCTGTATAAGTGGGGTCCTCCTGTACAGCAGTAGCCAGGAACCTTACCTGCTGTATAAGTGGGGCCCTCCTGTACAGCAGTAGCCAGGAACCTGACCTGCTGTATAAGTGGGGTCCTCCTGTATAGCAGTAGCCAGGAACCTTACCTGCTGTATAAGTGGAGCCCTCCTGTACAGCAGTAGCCAGGAACCTGACCTGCTGTATAAGTGGGGCCCTCCTGTACAGCAGTAGCCAGGAACCTGACCTGCTGTATAAGTGGGGCCCTCCTGTACAGCAGTAGCCAGGAACCTGACCTGCTGTATAAGTAGGGTCCTCCTGTATAGCAGTAGCCAGGAACCTTACCTGCTGTATAAGTGGGGCCCTCCTGTACAGCAGTAGCCAGGAACCTGACCTGCTGTATAAGTGTGGCCCTCCTGTACAGCAGTAGCTAGGAACCTGACCTGCTGTATAAGTGGGGCCCTCCTGTATAGCAGTAGCCAGGAACCTGACCTGCTGTATAAGTTGGGCCCTCCTGTACAGCAGTAGCCAGGAACCTGACCTGCTGCATAAGTGGGGCCCTCCTGTACAGCAGTAGCCAGGAACCTGACCTGCTGTATAAGTGGGGCCCTCCTGTTTCAGCAGTAGCCAGGAACCTGACCTGCTGTATAAGTTGGGCCCTCCTGTACAGCAGTAGCCAGGAACCTCACCTGCTGTATAAGTGGGGCCCTCCTGTACAGCAGTAGCCAGGAACCTGACCTGCTGTATAAGTGGGGTCCTCCTGTACAGCAGTAGCCAGGAACCTTACCTGCTGTATAAGTGGGGCCCTCCTGTACGCAGTAGCCAGGAACCTGACCTGCTGTATAAGTGGGGTCCTCCTGTATAGCAGTAGCCAGGAACCTTACCTGCTGTATAAGTGGGGCCCTCCTGTACAGCAGTAGCCAGGAACCTGACCTGCTGTATAAGTGGGGCCCTCCTGTACAGCAGTAGCCAGGAACCTGACCTGCTGTATAAGTGGGGCCCTCCTGTATAGCAGTAGCCAGGAACCTGACCTGCTGTATAAGTTGGGATCTCCTGTACAGCAGTAGCCAGGAACCTGACCTGCTTTCATAAGTGGGGCCCTCCTGTACAGCAGTAGCCAGGAACCTGACCTGCTGTATAAGTGGGGCCCTCCTGTACAGCAGTAGCCAGGAACCTGACCTGCTGTATAAGTTGGGCCCTCCTGTACAGCAGTAGCCAGGAACCTGACCTGCTGTATAAGTGGGGCCC